GGCCCGTTCAGAAGATAAAAACAAAACTGTATTCCCGAGTTGTTGCCCGTCAACAGATGAATGGGTGAACAAAATGTGGTATGTGTCTGTGCGTGATACTCCATTACTTTATTTATGTACGTGTGTATACAGAAAATAATAAATTACTATTCAGCCTTAAAAAGGAATGCAAGTCCGCCATGGCACAATATGGACGAGTCCTGAAAAACATGCTCAGCGCAGCGAGCCAGTCACAAAAGGACAGAGGCCGGACGATCCCGCCGCCGTGAGGCGGGCAGAGCAAACTCACCGAGACAGAAAGCGGCTGCCAGGGGCTGGGGAAGGGGGAGTGGGGAGCTAGTGTTTAAGGGGGACAGGGTTTCCGTTTGAGAAGATGACCAAGTTCTGGAGAATGACAGTCATTGTACAACAATGCAAATGTACTTAATGCCATTGAATCGCACACTTAAAATGGTTGAAATTGTAAATTTCATTACGTATACTTTACCACAATAAAAATAATTGTTTTTAAAAACTCCAGTTGTGAAAAGAGCTATAAAGAGAAGCAATCAGGGCCAGGAAAGCGGCGTGGGAGGGCGAGGCTGGAGCTGGGCTGCGGGCTCCCAGAGGCCTCGTTAAAGACTCTCTCCCCTGCCCCCCCGGACCGCGATCTCCTGAGAGCCAGTGGGGCATCTACATCTGTGTCCCAGGACAGCAAATATGTGAGTCACTGACAGACTCGAACCAGCAAACGGAGTGAGACCCCAGGCCGCACTTGGCGGAGGGCTTAGCCGGCAGAGGCCCAGAACGCAGTGGCCCGCGCAGGAGGCCGCCCTGCGCACAGGCTGGAGACCCTGTGTCAAGGGCCGCGGGGGGAAAGGGACGCTGAGCCAGAGACCTGGGAAGGCGCCTGCACGCTGTGACCCGGGAGTCCCACTTACAGGAGATAATCAGCCACGTGGCCCAAGACTTACAAGCAAGGATACTTCTTCAAGCTTTGTTTATAAGAAGGAAAAATGGGTAACAACAATCTGTCTAATAACAGAGGATTAAATAAATCATGTCACAGCCACATAATTGCAACTACGCAATTATTAATTTTAAGTAATTTAGGGAAATACACTATAACACAGGGGTGTCAGACTCATTTTCACCGGGGGCCACCTCAGCCTCAGGGTGCCTTCAGAGGGCTGAATGTAACTTTAGGACGGTATAAATGTAACTGCCCCTTAACTAGGGGCAAGGAGCTGGGCGCTGCCCCCAGGTAGAGAAACAAGGTGCCAGGCCAGATAAAGCCAGGTGGCAGGCCTTGTGTTTGCCACCTGTGCTCTAACATTTAAGAGGAACTATAAACTGAATACTGTATATAGTATTTTTTCTAACTTTGAAAAAACACACACAAAGGAAAGAAATACTTTAGTCCTTCACCGTATGGTGAGGTAGCAGGTAATTCGTATTTCTTTTTTCTTTTCCGAATTTTTCAACCTTTTTTTTTTCAGTGAAAACATTACTCTTACAAATATGGAGACGTGTAATTAAAAGGCCTTGCAAAATGCCGACAAATAATAGATGTGCAAGGAGTTATCTATCTGTTGCACACCAGTGAGCTTAAGAAACGATGAGAACCACGTTCTGCATCACCACGAAGAGGAAAAGCCTGCTGGCTTTCTCGCAGAGGGGGCAGGGAGGCCACGGGCAGAGCTGCAACCCCCGCTGCAGAGGTGGCAGCGGAAGGAAGCAGCAGCGAATGTGAAGGGCAGCCGGCAGCTCAGACTCCGGCAGCTCAGACTCCTTCTCGCCCAGACACCTCCCACCGCCTGCAGAGCTGCACACACCGACGCCACTGCCGGGAGGGAGCGAGGAGCCCGGCCCTCGGCTCAGGCCACACAACAGCCAACAAGCACAGCCAACTGCCACACTCCACCAAGACCTGCGGCTCGGGTCACTAAGGCAAGCCCCATCCCAGGGCAGGGATTTCCCACGGGCCACCACAGACGGGACCAGTGGCATCACAGGCAGCAGAGCGCAGTCTTTGAGGCCCCAGGTGAGGAGGGCTGGTCCAAACGGCACCTTTTTAACCTAAAAGCTCGTGGGGGCCAGTTTTACTTCACCAGGAAGCTCACTGCCTCTCTCTCTCATCTCCAGCCCTACTACAGGAAACGCCTTTATTTCTTTGTCCACAACGACAGACCCAGGTCCCCAAGGCTACACAAGTCCCAGGAAAAAAATCTGTATTTTTAAAAGATTTTATTTATTTTTAGAGAGAGTGGAAGGGAGACAGGTAGAGACATCAGTGGGTCGCCTCTTGCCCCACAACCCAAGCACACGTGTCCTGACTGGGAATCGAACCGGTGACCTTTTGGGTTGCAGGCTCGCGCACAATCCACTGAGCCACACCAGCCAGGGCCCAGGGGGAAAAAATCTTAAGAAAACAGTCAAGTTATGATTTCAAAAGAAGACAGTTTGGTGAGCTTGGGTGAAATATGGGATGCAGAACACAAAGCCCAACAGATCTCTGTGGGAAATTTAATTTTTCAGAATGGAATGTATTGCTTGAAGATCCAGTGTAGACAGGCCTGTTTAACACCTGCCCGCCCCTAACAAGGTGCGTGCATTTGACAGCAAAGAGGCCTCATTATCCAATCTAGAAATACATGTACTGGCCCACCTGGCCTATTACAGTTTGAAACAGAAACCAACACAGAAATGATCAATTTTAAGCAGCAGAATAATGAGACACATAACCAGCACACAGCCATCAGCAACATGAGTCAGTACCTTGTGCAAGGCAAAGAAAAAAAATCTTGTAAGTACAATAATCCTTCAGGAAAAAAAAAGGGGGAGGGACTGATATTTTAAAAAAGGGAATGGTGTGAACAAGCCAACCACAAAAAAGAAAAAAAAGAAAAAAAGAAAGCAAGCCTCGGCCAGGCCCCAGGCAACCAGACCAGGCCTGGAATTAGTCCCGACTCGCCATTCCTGAAATTCCACTCTCCCGAGGCTTTCTGCCTCTTCCTTCCCGGGCTTTTTTCTTGACCCGTTGGGGCCCGAAGGACACCGGGGAGGGCCCCGGGAGCTGTAGGAGGAGGTGGCTGGCCCCCACAACTGGTAGAGACAACTAAAAGAGCTAAAATTCACAAGTAACCAAACAGCTTGGTGGGAGGGACAGCCGATTCACCTCCCTCCCTAACCAACCAGCTAACCGGCAGCCCGGAACCAGAGCCAGACCGGGCAGGAAAGAAATCCGATAGAAAAGACGGGCCGAGAGGCACGAACGGGTGGGGACCGAGAGAATGACATGACCCCGTCAAAACGTCTCAGTCCCACAGACGGCCAGGAGGCCCGAAGGAGGTTACAAGGAGATTGTTTGAAAAGAACAAAACCGAGATGGTTGTGGGAATGCCAACGAGTCCAAACAAATCTCCCATCAGACTTCAGAGCCCCTGTAACCCAAGCAGAGTCTCGCTCACCAGGTTTGGCCCAGAGGTACCCGGGTCTCAATCCTCACCTGCGGCCAAGACTGGGGGGTCCATCTCCCCCCGCTGGCCTCAGTCCTTCCCACCACCTGCCACAAAAAGCAGACACCCCCATTCGGCTGAGCAGCACAGCTCTTCTAAGCTATGCTGGTGCCCCCGGGCAGCTGAATGGTCCCCATATTAAAACACTGGAGGGAACTGAATTTGGGGTGAGGAGGTCACACACATCTCTATCAATGAAGAGAACTGGAGAAAAAGACCAGGAACTAGGAAAAAGGAACCAGAAAACTAGGAAGGACAAAAACAACATACATTTTCATCACATTCCCCCGCCCCCCCTCTGTGGATGGAAGCACTTGGCTACAAATAGTACGCTGAGGCTCCCAAGAGCCTCAACAGATTAATTAAGACAAGACGTAATTACTCCCATTTTACAGATGCAGGAGCTGAGGCTCAGAGTTGCGTAAGGTAACCCAAAGAGGACCAGAATCCAGGCTCCAAGAGACACGCGCGCCCGAACGAGCAGAGGCTCCCCAGATGATCGCCTGCTGTTCCCCAAGGAAAGCAGCTGCTCCCCAGGCGAGAGCCCCTGGGCCCTGGCTTGTTGTTCTCAACATCCCACACCCTCGTTCTGGCTCCGCCGCACACCGCACAGCAGGCGCAGCCTCCAGAGGCACGGGCACCCTGGATTCGCGCCCAGGGACCTGTGACCACACCACCCACACCTAGTCAGTCCTCGAGGGCTCCACAGGCTGCTTTTCCATCCCGGTCTCCTCCCAGAGGCCCGGGACTGAACGCGCCAGCGGCCCACGCTGTCTTGTGCCGAGTTACTTCTCCCCCGGCCGGGCCCTAGCCCAGCACCTGTGGCATCGGCAGGACCGCTGTGCTCTGAGGGGGCACCTCCAGTGGCCAACTTCCACGCCAGGGCTTGACGGCAACCACACGAACAGCCACAGGAGGAACACCGGCTGAGCACCAGTGGTGCGCCAGGCCCTCTGCTAGCTACGCCTTCCCCCACCTTCCCGACCCCAGGAGATGGAGAAGGCAACCTCCCTACTTAACGCCAGTGAAGGCTCACGGACGTGGGAGTTCCCCAACAGAAGCAGGACCGGCACCCCAAAGCCTGGGCCTCCCCAGTCCCACCTCACACCCCAGGGCGGTGCACAGACAAGCCCGGATGGGTTTAGAGAAACCCCACTAGGACTTCAAACGAACGGGTCACACAAACCAAACTGGATGATAATGTATACAGCCACGTAAAAAGGCACATAAAATCCTACGCGGAGGAAAAAAAAAAATCTCAGGGACGGTTAACAACCCTGTAAACCAAAGGCTTTTAAAGGTTTCTGCCAGGCAGCCATTTAGCAAATAACACACTCCAGAGAGCCTCCCAGCCCCCTTCTCCCACTTCCTTCATGAGAATCACCCCCCTGAAAAACACCCCCTTCTGGCCTCAGCGTGGGCTCGGACCTCCCACGAGATTTACACACACACACACACACACACACGCACACATACAGAGAGAGAGAGAGAGAGAGAAAACACCTTCCAACGCTATGTCGGCGAAATCCACTCTTCCGAGGCCCACGATTTCAGCAGCGCTGTTGCTTACTCAGAAAAGGGGGGAAAGGTAGGGGGAAAAAATGAAAAAATAAAAAAATAAAAAAATAAAACCATCTGGCAGGCCCTGAGCAGCGACATCCTGTTTATTATTAAACATTTTCAGCAATAGAGCCTTTAAGCCTTTTCAAAATCACCCTCTACGTCCGCACTGCAACCGCGACCGTGGCGGCGGGCTGTGAGCGCCCCGCCCCTGGCCCCCCGCACACAGGCCGGCAGCCCCCGGCCGCCAACTTCACGGACACTCGGGGGGTGTGGGGGACACTGCCGGCTCCGCGCCCCGACTCGGCTCTGCGGCCCAGGGGGTCGCCCGACTCCCGAGCCCCACCTCCGGGGGTGGTTTTGAAAGTGAGCTGGGGGCGGGGGGCGGGGGGGCCGCAGAACCGTCCCCGACGTCCCCAGCCCACACAGGCGGCCTCGGCCGCGGGACCCAGGGGTCGGCGGGGCGACTCCCGGGCCCCGGGGGGCCGCTCCGCACCACCAGCCCCCGACCCCGGGGGCACTCCGGCCGCGCCGCGCCCCGGCCCGGCCTCCCGGGGCCGCCTCGACCCCGCCGCCCGCGCCCAGGCCGCGCGGCGCCGCCACAACAATGGCGAGCGCGCCGGGCCGCCCGCCCCAGGCCCGGCCCCGCGGCCCTCGCCCGGCCCGCCGGCCAACGGCGGCGGCGCGGGGCGGGCCGCGCCCGGCGCGCTCGCGGACAAAGGTCGGCCGGGCCCGGGGCTCGCCGCTGTCAGTCAGCGCCGCCGAGACAAAGCCGGGCCGCGCCGCCTCGGCGCCTCCATCTTAGCGCCGCGCCCGCCTCTCCCCCCGGCCCCGCGCCCGCGCCCCGGGCCCACCTGGTCTGGTTCCGCGGGCGACACTGGGCCGAGCGATGGCGGTCGAGCGGCGGTCGGGCGCGGAGGCGGCGGGATGGCGGCGGATTGCGAGGCGGCGGCACGGCTGCTCGCTCGCTCGCTCGCTCGCTCCCTCCCTCCCGACTCGCTCGTCGCTCGCTCGTCGCTCGCTCGCTGGAGCCTCGGAGCCTGTGTCTCGCCGCTCGCCTCCCTCTCGCGCGCCGCTCCCCGCCCCCCGCCTGCCGCCGCCCCCGCCTCCTCCGGCCTCCTCCCGCCGCCGCCGCCGCCGCCGCCCGCAGCCGCGCCGCCGCCCGCGCAGCGCCCCCTGCCGCGCCTCCCGGGATCGCCGGCGCCCTCCCGCGGGCCTGAGGGGCTGGGGGCCGGGGAGGGGCGGGCCCGAGCGGAGCGGAGCGGGCGGGGGCGGGCGCGGAGGGGGCGGGGGGCGGGGGAGGAGCTCCCGGAAGCGGAGAGCGTTCCGGGAGACCAGGGGCGTGAGCGAGGAGGGAGGGTCCGGGGCTCCGAGACGGGGTCCGGGGCGCGGAGGGGGAGGGGAGGCGGCTCGGGGGAGGGGTCTGGGCGAGCCGGGGGGCGAGCGGGCCGGAAGCGGGGCTCTGGAATGGAGGGGCCGGGGCGGGGGAGGGGAGGCCGGGCGGGCGGGGAGCGAGGCGCGAGCCCGGATCTCCGCCCCCTCCCCCCCTCCGAACTGCAGCGCCCCCGGACAGACCCGGAGCCCGGATTCCTCTCTCCGAATACGTGTGCGATAGACGCACGGAACGGAAGCAGAAGTGGTACATTGTTCATTCAAAAGCAAGGCCGTTGCACAGCGCAGACACTTTACCCCATTTTTGTCGAGGGGTAAAATGATAAAACCCATCCTCTGGAGTGCGTGTTTGTGGGGAGGCGAAACAAAAGGTGTGGGAGGATGCACTCGGCTGAGTCACCTTGGCGGTCTGAGGTCGGGCAGAGGTCAGGAGCGCCAAGGAGGATTCTCGCTTCTTCTTCTAGATACGTTGGCAATTAGAAAAATCAACAATTTGGAAAAGCAAAGACGGAAAGCTTGGGGCCTGGAACCCAAGCCATCCGGCTCCCCTCTGGCACTTGTCCACACGCCCCGCAGCTGGGCAACTGGGCATGCCCGCCGTGGAGTGGCCTCGAGTGGTGTGTCTCATTTAATCCCAGCAGCTGGGGAAATGGAGACTCAGAGGTTAAGTACTTGCCCGAGGACACAGAGCCAGACCTGAGAGGAAAGTTAACCCGCTGCAGCCTAACTACCCAGGGCAGGGTTCGCCCAGAGCACAGAGCCTGGCACCTGCTGGGCGCTCCATGCATAAATACAGGTGGGCTTGATGAAGGGAGGAAGGAGTGTTTGGCCCTTGACCTTTTGGCTGTGAAGTAAGGAACCCTGGGACTCACTAAGAATCAGGTTACTTTATTATTATTATTATTATTTATTATGTGACAAGAGAAATATAAGAAGAAAAGCTTGGAGATCCCGGAGTGCTGTAGAAGACAGGCGAGGAAATGTTAAAGACGACAACCCGGGAGGAGAAAGGTTAACAAATGCTCTGCCCCTCTGGCAGAGCTCGAAAGGCAATGATGGCTTCTGGGGACAGCGAGGGTTGCCAGGTCCGTGAAAATGACAGCAGGTGCCCCACTTGTACCAAAAAAAAAAAAAAACAAACAAACAGGGTTTTTGTCCTGGGTTCAGGAAATCCTCTGTCTGCACCTCTCCAGGGTGACAGCCCAGACAGGTGCTGTTTGCTGAGCACCTTTTCTGGGCAGGATGCTAAGCACTTTTACAGGAGAGAACTTGTAAATACTTGGGAGATGGCTCTTAACCATTCACACTTCACAGATTAGGAAATTCAGATCAGGAGTTTGGTGACCTTAACCAAGGTCACAAAGGACCTGGGGGGTGGGGGGAGGATCTGAGCCCAATAATGCCAGCCCTGGAGGTCTGAGCCTTTCCCAGAGGGAGGCAAGACTAAGATGCTGGGATGGGTATGGGGACTATTGTCCGTGGTCTGAGGCTGTCAGCAAGGCCTGGCTCCCTGGGCTCCTCCAGGGCCTGAAGGTGCCATTCCAAGGCCCCTCAGAGCTCGGGCCCCAGAGAGCACAGAGAGAAGGAGAGACCAGCGCATGAGGGCTGGACCTTGAGGTCATGTAGCCCCAGAGAAACACCATGAGGCATGGCAGACATTCAAGGACATGTTTCGTATTGTCAAAGTTACACCAGGAAACCCTGGCTGGTGTGTCTCAGTGGATTGAGTGCCAGCCTGCGAAGCAAAGGGTCACCGGTTCGATTCCCAGTCAGGGTGCATGCCCGGGTTGTGGGCCAGGTCCCCAGTAGGGGGCGTGTGAGAGGCAACTGATCAATGTATCTCTCACACATTGATGTTTCTCTCCCTCTTTCTCCCTCCTCCTCTCTTGGAAAATAAATAAAATCTGAAAAAAAAAAAGTTACACCAAGGAAACAACTCTCAGAGTTGGAATATTGAAAGAATGTAAGGAATGAGTGGGCCCAGCTATTCAAAGCTGGGGAGAGCTGGCATGAACCAATGACCAAGAGTTCACTTTTATCACTATTTTCCTCAAAAATGTGAGGACACTTCAACTCTGCTTATGAGTGGAGACATCTTTTCAGGCTCCAGGGGGAACTCCACCCCTCCCTCCCGGCCTAATGCCAATGTTATATAAACATAATTTTTCCCCCAAATACAATCATTGTCTTTCATTACATTGAAATCTAATATTTTGGTATAATGCTTATAACTGTATTTCTTTATCCACGATTTTCTTTTTTAAACCACATTATGGCTAGAGGTGGATCTCCTTTGCATTAATTTCACATGGAATCTGGAATGTCCTGTCATTGGTCAGATTTGGGTTTTTTTTTTTAAGATTTTATTTATTTATTTATTTATTTTTAGAGAGGGAAGGGAGGCAGAAAGAGAGAGAGAAACATCAATGTGCGGTTGCTGGGGGCCTTGGCCTGCAACCCAGGCATGTGCCCTGACTGGGAATCGAACCTGCAATGCTTTGGTTTGCAGCCTGAGCTCAATCCACTGAGCTACACCAGCTAGGAAATTTGGGTTCTTTAAAAATAAAAAGGAAAGAAAAGAAAGACCTCGCCTGGAAAGTAGCCTTCTTGTGCTCTCTCTTTGTCCTCCTTCCCTTACTCAGACTCCTTCTCTGACCCCTGGGACACTTCGACAGTCACTGTCTCAGTCCCCGTCTTGCTGTGGCCATCATTTCTCTGTCCCCTACAAGACAAGAAGCTCAGTGGAACTGAGTCACTGAATCACTCTTTTTTTTTTTTAATTTATTTATTTTTAGAGAGAGGGGAAGGGAGGGAGAAAGAGAGGGAGAAAAACATCCGTGTGTGGTTGCCTCTTGCACACCCCCTCCTGGGGACTCAGCCCGCAACCCAGGCATGTGCTCTGACTGAGAATCAAACCAGCGACCATTTGGTTCACAGGTTGGCACTCAGTCCACTGAGCCACACCCGCCGGGGCTGAAACATTCACTTTTTTAATGCCCCAGCCCTTAGCACACAATCTGTGACACACGATGAGTGAGTGCCCAGGGGTTAAGGCAGAGGGAACCTGGGGATTCGGAGAAGGCCTGTGACCCGTGCTGGGGCCACGGCCAGTGGGGAACAGGGAGGCTCTCGCTCTTCCATTGCCCGGAGGTGCGAAGACATTGCTGCGCTTCTCTTATCCCTCTGTCAGGGACAGTCACCGTTTACAGAGCACTTCAGGTGAGAACGTTACACCACAGGGGTCGGGGTCGGTGACCCGGTGACCCATCTGCGTCCCCACGGGGAGCCGGCGGCAGAGCTGAGGAAGAGCGAGCTGGAAGAGAAAGTGCACGCCTGGCGAGGGCCTGAGCCAACCTCGCTCCCCGAGCATCCTCACCATGTTTCTGGGGGAGGGTCTGTTATCACACCACTTCGCAGACCAGTAAACCGAGGACCCGGGACCTTCACTGCCTCTGCTGGCCGCCAGATGCTGAGTCATACTACTATGTTTGGGAGGGCCCTTCCTGTCGTCCAGACCCCAGAAAGCGCTGGCACCTCCGTGTCCTGCTGCAGGGAAGTAGGAAGTCGCTTAACGCTGTGAACACAAACACGGGGCCAGTCTTTAAAGCTCTGACCCCAGCACAGAGCCCAGGGAACAGCCCCAGAGACCTCTCACGTGGGCCCTGTCTGGCTTCAAGGTCACTCCCCAGCCACTGAGTGTAGTTCACGGCACGGCCATGCACGCAGAGGCCCAGCCAGCTCACCTGGGTTTCCCAGTGGGGCCCGTCCAAGCCCAGGCCAACAGCAGGTGCTGGCTCCACGCCCTTCTGCCGGGCTGGGAGTCAGACAGCCTGAGTTAAACCCGTCCCTCTGCTGACTTACTGTGTGTCCTTAGACAGGTGCTGGAATTCTCTGCGTCTCTGGAAACCGGGGAAGAGGTTTACGATGAGCATCGGATTAGAGGATGTGATTGGCCGGCATCACAAGCCCGCATCCAGCAGGCATTCCGCACGTGTGGCTTGTTACTCCTGTTCCTTGCTATTCACAGACACACCAGAGCCTCCCTTGTCGGTCACCAATCACTGTGTAACAAACAGCCCCCAAACTTAGTGGCTGAAAACAACCACCATTTGGTATGGTGGATTCGGGGATGTTTCTTCTCGTCCACCTGGTGCTGACTGCAGTCAGTCACACCGCTGCGCTTGTCTGTGCGTCCCCGAGGTGTCCCATCTTCCTGGAGCCTCCTGGGGGCCTCTCCCTCTGATAAAACAGTCCGGGCTTCCTTACGGCACGGCAGCTGCATTCCAAAGGAGGGAAAGCGGGAGCACACAGGCCTTGTGAGAATGGCACGTCTGCTGTGCTCCATTGGCCAGAGGGGGCCTCGCAGCCAGTTCAGACTTGGGGGCGGGGAAGTAACCCCACCCCACCCCGAAGGAAGGAGCATCACACGTGTACACAGAGGGGAAGACTCGCAAATTACTTGTGGGTGACCCCCCCGCTGTTGGCCCCTCAGCCTCCCCCCACCCCATGCCTTGTCCAGGCCCCCACTCATTCTGTCTAATGAAGACATTCCACCCAACTGCAAAAAAGCTCTACTGAGTTCTGTAACGGCAAGAACGGTCAGAATGCTGAGATACGACAAGAAGAGAAATAAATGGTCTCTATGCTCGAGAAGATCCCAAGTTCAGGGGCATGCAAAACAAAACAACAACAATAAAAACAGCGACTTATCAAGCTCGCACCACCTGCCAGGCGTGGACTGGCCGAGATGGGTCTGGATCAGCGGGCTGGTGCTGGCCCGGTCTACCGCGCCCTCGGGCCCCAGAGGGCAGTGGGTGACACGCCCACAGCTCACTCGCAATGCAATCAAGGAGCTTGAGGCTTACAGTGTGGGTAGTGACCGCATACGCCAGGATTCCTGGACAGCCAGCCTGCTTTCCTGCTCTCCGCGCCTGTTCTCCAAAGTGCGACTGTGCTAACGAGAGAGAGAGAGAGAGAGAGAGAGAGAGAGAGTCAGTCAGTCTCCATTTCATTTCAGAAAATGGGGTCGTATTAACTGGAGGGGGGAAGAAAACAATATCCAGGGAGAAATGGATCCCAGTGGGGAGATGGAGGGAGCCTTCCTGGGGCAGGTGCCTTTGACACCAGGCTTTGAAGAACCAGGCAGAGCGGAGAATTTCATCAGAAGAGACTGGGGAAGAGCATTCCAGATGGAGGGGCCCACTTGAACAAAGGCCTGGAGATGAGAGTGTCTGGGCGCCAGGAGGGGCCCACGGGCTGGCCGGCAGCCCCACCCCAGGGAATGCGCGCTCCGGCAGGGGTGGGGGCCTTGAGCTAAAAATACCATTGGGTCTGAACAGGTGTCAGGGAGCCCGCCACAGGCCTCTGTGCCCCCAGCAGGGGCTGGGAGGCAGCGTCTGCGTCTCAGCAGCCCACGCACGGGACGCACACGCAAGAGCTAAAAGCTGGGTCTCCTCTGGGCAAGGAGCACCGGCAGTTTCTCTTCCCTCCCCACCTGATTCTTACCCATTGGAATTCGCCCTCCATTTTCCGAGGGAAAGAGGCGGACTGGAGAATACAAGAAGAGTGAGGGTAAGATTTCAAACTTGGCAACTTCAGCTAAGGAAAAGCAGCAAAAGGATGTCGAGGGATGGGACTCAGGGAAGTAAAGGGGAGAAGGGCCAGCTCCCCAAGGAGGCTCCCAGAGGAAGGGCGCGGGCAGCAAGGTCAGGAGGCCATCCTGCCCGCTCCCTTTCCTGCCGCTGGGCAGAGTCTCCAGTCCTGGTCCTCCTCCCCAAGGAGCACTTCAGAACCTCCCTCAGAGGGACCCCAGAAAGCCACGGCAGGAGAATTTAGGAACGAGGTCTCGCCCCTGTGGCCAGTATCTCAGAAATGGAGGTACTGAAGAAACGAAAGATCTCAGAATCTAACTTGACATCAAGAATGTGAGACCTGCCCTGGCTGGCATAGCTCAGTGGATTGAGCATGGGTTATGAACCAAAGTGTCACAGGTTTGATTCCCAGTCAGGGCACATGCCTAGGTTGCAGGCCACAGCCCTCAGCAACCACACATTGGTGTTTCTCTCTCTCTCTCTCTCTCCCTCCTTTCCCTCTCTAAAAATAAATAAATAAAATCTTAAAAAAAAAAAAGAATGTGAGTCCTGACCAGTGTGGCTCAGGGGGTTGGGCATCGTCCCACAAAGCGAAAGGTCGCTGGTTCGATTCCCGGTCAGGGCACGTGCCTGGGTTGTGGGTTCAGTTCCCAGTCGGGCACACGTGAGAGGCTGCCTCTCACATCGGTGTTTCCCTCCCTCCCTTCCCCTCTCTCTAAAAATAAATAAATAAAATCTTTAAAAAGAGGAAGAAGAAGCCCTGGCTGGCGTAGCTCAGTGGATTGAGCATGGGTTGGGAACTAAAGTGTCCCAGGTTCGATTCCCAGCCAGGGTACATTCCTGGGTTGCAGGCCATAACCCCCAGCAACCACACATTGATGTTTCTCTCTCTCTCTCTCTCTCTCTCTCTCTCCCTCCCACCCTTCCCTCCCTAAAAATGGATGAATAAAAAAAAAATCTTAAAAAAAAGAAGAAGAAGAAGAAAGAAAGAAAGAAGAGGCCCTGGCCAGGTAGCTCAGTTGGTCAGAGCATCATCCCAATACGCCAAAGTTGCAGGTTTGATCCCTGGTCAGGGCACATACAGGAATCAACCAATGAATGAATAAATAAGTGCAACAACAAATTCATGTCTTTTTTCCTCTCTGTGTCTCACTCTCCCTCCCTGTCTCTCTCAAATCGATTTTTTTTAAAAAGTTAAACATAGAATTATCATATGACCCAGCAATTCCACTCACAGCTTTGCACCTAAAAGAACTGAAAACAAGTGCTCAAACAACAGCATGCATGCGAGTACTCACAGCAGCAATATTTGGAATGGCCAAGAGGTGGGAACAACCCAAATGCCCATTAAGTGATGAGTGCATGAAAAAAAATGTGGCAGATCCAAACGGAAGTACTATTCAGCCACTAAAAGTAATGACGGTTTTTTTTTTCAGATTTCATTTTATTTATATTTAGAGACATGGGAAGGGAGGGAGAAAGAGAGGGAGAGAAACATCAATGTGTGGTTGCCTCTCACACGCCCCCAACTGGGGACCTGGCCCGCAACCCAGGCCTGTGCCCTGACGAGGAGTCGACCCTTTGGTTCTCAGGCCAGCACTCAGTCCACTGAGCCACACCAGCCAGGGCTGAAGTTCTTTTTTTTTAAACTAATTTTTAACTTTTATTTTTCAATTGCAGTTGACATTCACTATTATTTTGTATTAGTTTCAGGCATACAGCATAGCGATTAGACAATCATCTACTTTGCAAAGTGTTTCCCCCAGTATTTCCAGTACCCGCCTGGCACCACACCTATAACAGTTATCATGCCCTGGCTGGCGTAGCTCAGTGGATTGAGCGCGGGCTGCGAACCAAAGTGTCGCAGGTTCAATTCCCAGTCAGGGCACATGCCTGGGTTGCAGTCCATGACCCCCAGCAACTGCACATTGATGTTTCTCTCTCTCTCTCTCTCTCTCTCTCCCCCCTTCCCTCTCTAAAAATAAATAAATAAAATCTTTAAAAAAATAGTTATTATGCCATTGTTGACTGTGTTTTCTATGCTGTACTTTAAGCAATGAAGTTCTCTTACATGATACAACACAGACAGACCTTGGAAACATTATGTTAAGAGAAAGAAGGCAGAGACAAGAGGCCAGATGTTGTATGATTCCATTTACACAAAATGTCCAACACAGGCAAACTCACAGAGACAGACGCAGACCAGCGTCTGCATCTGTGCCAGGGGCTGGGAGGAGCGGGGTGGGGAGTCTCTGTTTGACGGATACGCGATTTCCTCTCAGGACAATGAAGCCATTCTGGACCTAGACAGAGGTGATGGTTGCCCAACATCACCTCTCATATACTCTATGTCACTGAAATGCACACTTTAAAAGTAGATAAAATGGGCCCTGGCTGGGTAGTTGAGTTGTTTGCAGCATCATCCCAGAGACCAATAGGTTGCAGGTTCAATCCCTGGTCAGGGAACATACCTAGGTTGCAGGTTCAACACCCCCCAGTTAGGGGGTGTTCAAGGGGCAACCAATGATGTGATCGCTCTCTCTCCCCCTCTCTAAAATATTAATAATGTCCTTGGGTGAGGATTAAAAATGAAAAAGAAAAAATATTAAAGAGGTTAAGGAAATCTTGTGAAGGTTTTACAGAGGATATACTAGAATGACGGGCTGAGATCACGCAAGCCCTCTCTCGAGGGCCGGATGCACCCCATGGTGGAACAGACACAAACAATGTGGGGGTGGGTGGGGTGACACACCATGGGGGTGCCGGTGTAGAACCTAAAGTGCAGCAACAAGAACGAGACACTTGGGCCTCCCCAGGCTCTTGTGCCAGCAGGTCAGGGGCCACACAGCTCCTCAGAGCAGCAAGCAGCGCTGTCCCCAGCTGCTCGTCCCCTGGCCCAGCCCCGAGAAGAGGCTGAGCTGAGTCATTCCTGTGATTCTTCCCATCCTGCAGAGGAGGAATTAACAGGTGACCCGTCCAGCTGCCCGTCCTGCCAGGTCGTTCTTAACGCCTCAGGCCAAGCTCCTTGCTGTCCTGGAATACGATCTGGCCCCTCCTGACCTCTCCAGCCCGATCTCTCACCTCCTCACTTTTCAGACGCATCGCTTTCTCTCCCCTCCAGACTCGGAACTCACTGTTCTTCCTGGTGCAGTTACCCCCTCCCCCACCTCAGCCTCACACAACCTCCTTTGCTTGGACAGCGCCTCCTTCTTTTTATTTTTTAAAGATTTTCTTTGTTTATTTTCAGAGAGAGGGAAAGGGAGGGAAAAAGAGAGGAAGAGAAACATCAGTTGGTTGCCTCTTGCAAGCCCCGAGCCGGGAGGACCTGGCCCACAACCCACGCATGTGCTCTGACAAGGAATCGAACCGTTGACCTTTCACTTCACAGGCTGGAGCTCAGGCCACTGAGCCACACCAGCCAGGGCTGGACAGTGCCTCCTTAAAGAACGCTTCTCTGTTGGTGCCCACCTGCAAACTGCCACAGCACAAGCCTTCTTAACCCGATCACTCGTTCAACACCAGGACCGCATGGCATGGCTTCCAAGACAGATGTGTGCAGAGCTTCTGGGCGCTGGCGAACCGCCTGACTTCCAGTTAGACTGTGAGGTCCTCTGGGCTGGGAAGCGGTGTGCATGTTCGCCACTATATCCCCGAGTCTTACACAATGCCTGGCATGGTGTAGGCCTCAATAAATATTTGCTAAATCAATGAGTGAATGAACGAACAAAGGAATCCATGCAAAGAAGGGAGGAGAAAAACAGGTGGGATAGGAATGCAATGAAGCAGGAAATGACCTTTGCACCTGCCTATGAATACCTAATGTTTCCTTCCCTGGGCAGTGCAGGAGAAACGGGGCACACCAAAGACACAGCTGAAAGAGGGGCTCAAAATGGCATCACGAACAACACACCCTCTGAAGATATAATCGTATTGTGCCAACTAAACCAAAAGGGTCAAGGGATAAAAATTAAATAAGCCAAACTGCACAGTAATAATGGAAACAACTGCGTATTGGGTCGGCTAAGGGCTGTAACAAACCATCCCAGCATTTCAGCAGTGTATCACAACAAAAGTTTATTTTTTATCCCTCTCCCACTTGGGCTTTTCTGGTTGAGCAGCTCTGTTCCAAGTGGTGCCTCGGGGGTTCAGAAAACTCCCATCTCTGCTTCCACTCTCCATCCCAGCGGTGCTGGCAGGAAATGGACAGGAAAGCAGGCCTGGAAAGGTGCGGGGGCACTTCTCCCCACACTCCATTGGCCAGAACTCAGTCATGTGGCCTGACTTAGCTGCATGGGAAGCTGAGAATTGTAGTCTAGCAGTGTGTCCCAGAGGAAAAGACAGTGGGGATTGCCGAACTCGGGGTAGTCTCAGTCACAGTTCTTACCTAAGGAGATGGGTTCACAGTTCTCAGTCACAGTTCTTACCTAATGAGGATCTACTAAATGTCAGGCACCGTGCTCAGTAGGTTACATGCATGTGGTCGTTTTATTCTCACATCAGTTCTCGTTTACAAAAGGGGAAACCGAGACTCAGAAAGTTTAAGTACATTTTATGAGGCGAAAGCCTCATACTTACAGAATCAATGTGGATCCCGATCTTTTCAACTCAAAGCCCTGTAACTGAAGCGAAGTCGAGGCAGATAATACTAATGAGCCGCTACCTGCTTTAAATTACACCTGCCCACTCAACACTATTATCATTGACTAAGTGCTTATTTTGGGTTAGGGTTTTTCTAAGCGCTTTCATATTAACTCACTCGATCCTCACAAAGCCCTGTGAAATAGGTACTGTTAATACCCTTACTTTACAGATGAGGAAATGGCACAGAGAGGTTGAGTGACTGGGCTGAGATCACTCAGCGAGGGCATGGCAGACAGAACTCCAACCCAGGCAGGAAGTGTGTCTCCAGAGTCTACACGTGAACTTGTCCTGCTCCCGCCTCTCCACAGACAACAAAAGGAAGGATTGCAGGGCGGGGTCTCCAAGGTGAAGCTCTGGACCCTGCAGAGTAACCGAGCTGGGCCTTGGGGATACAAGAGAGAAATAACAATCCTTCCATTTACGCTTCTCTGTATTCTCTTGGAAAAAGTATCAGTGATATTAAACTTTACTAATATGTACATTTTATACAGAGTGACCCTGGCACCCTCACTCAGCTGAGGATCAATCTGGATAATACGCACAGATTAAATTAGTAAAATTTAATATACTGTCAGTTTTGAAAGAATAAACATAAATAGAAGGTATCACGTGCAGTGCTTGGATTAGTGGGCCATTGTGGTATATTTAGTTTTAAATATACTTCCTCTCACAGGGTGGACGAGTAGTTTTAAAAGATACTTGTAGTCCTTGCTGGTGTGGCTCAGTGGACTGAGCACGGGCCAGTGAACCAAAGGGTCACGGGTCTCGTTCCCAGTCTAGGGCACATGCCTGGGTTGCAGGCCAGGTCCCCACTGGGGGGCCGCGAGAAGCAACCACATATTGATGTTTCTCGTTCTCCCTCCCTTCTCCTCTCTAAAAATAAGTAAATAAAATCTTTTAAAAAAATACCTGTAAAAAATGGACACACACCTCAGTTACCACTGCGCTGAAAGCCTCAGACTGCCTCACGCATGCCCAGAATCTCTATTTTGCAGCGTAGAAGGCGGGACCCTGTAGCCACACCCCTCCTCTTTTCCCCGCCTTCCGTGTTTTTTTCAGAGGCATCATTGGCTACTTCCTGGTGTGATTGGGCGAGCCCCAGTCATTGGAGGGACACGATTGGACAAAGTCTCCGCTTCTCGTCCTGGGGAATCTTCGATTGGCTGAAGTGCTGCAAACCTTCACGTCCACCAGGCAAACAGAAAGAGATTGACCGCCGAGAGCTTGAGCGCGAAGGGCGGAGGGGCCGGGAGAGCCCAGGGCTTCAGATGACGCGGATGGCAGCTGCTGTCCCGGAAGGTCGGAGCAGAGATGCCGGCGGAAACCTTGGTTGGGCGGATTGAGATGAGGCCAGACGTCGTGGCCTGACACAAACCCCCAGCAAAATCTCCAGCCTGCCACCGAGTTGGGAAGCCACTACTGGTTCAGAACCCTGTACTGGAGGCTTCTGCAGACAGACACAACCCGTCTGGAGCAGTTGCAGGAAACTGAAGCTGGACCCTCATCAGGTGGAGCTTCTGCAGTAGTGGAATGACCCACATGCAGAGGTTTATAAGCAAGGGAACCGGAAGAAAATAAAAAAGCTAACTGCTGACAGCGAGGTCTCTCAGCCTACAAACTCATCTCCAGAACCATGTGGGGGAATCAGAAGACGCCTGTCCAAGGGAGAAGATCCAGGAGAAATGCGACCTGCAGAAATCTGTGCCCAGCCTCCTCTGTCTGAATCTCTATGGTCTGTGGACAAGTAAACCCTGTCCTTGTAGAAGAGAAGGAACATCTGTGGGAAGAGCTTATCCACAGAGATCATCATGACGTGAAGTGAAATGAGGGACTTGCAGAAAATCCACTAGCACACATTTAAAAAAAAAAAACAAACAGACGTTTCTACTGGACCAAGATTTGTTACCCAGGAAGGATCCGATTCACTTGCTCCGAGGTTTCCCACGTGCTTGCTCCGAGTTCTCGGCCACTCACAGTGTACTTGTCGCTGTGATAAAGGCAGACCTTGGCAAGAATGGCAACAGCCTAAAAATTGGGCCAAATGTCTGTGTGATCAGAGATAAAGCCACAGAAAGAGGTAATGGTCGATCCTTGTGATGCCACTCGGGTCCCTGTGGCAGACTGAAGCTGGCTGTCCTGTTTAGTGCAGACAGGTCCCTGTGAGGAGCCCGCCCCGGGCTTGCTGAACAAGGGTAAGATACCACCAAAGGACATAATGGAACCAAAAGGTGAAGTCCATTCAGCCAGTCTCCAAGGGACCCACGGACACAGTGATGCTCATGCAGATAAAGGGCTGCGACACGGGTAGGAATAGAGTGACTCGAACAGTGTTCTGTTAGAGGGACTCGGAAACACTCCCAGGTCAGGTCCTGGAGAGCATGCCAGAGCACTAAAACTTTATCCAGGGAGACAGAGACATGTGAGAATTGTTCCGTCAGTATAGGACCCCCCAAACAGGAGCCCGAATTTTTACTTAGGTTAAATCACTAAACACAATGTTCATTGTGTTCTTCTTCAGAACCAGCAGGGGTCACGAGGCTGAAATAATAATGCTAATAAGCACTACACAGCCCTGGCTGGCATAGCTCAGTGGATTGAGTGAGGGCTGCGAACCAAAGCGTTGCAGGTTCGAGTCCCAGTCAGGCCACATACCTGGTTTGCAGGCCACGGCCCCCAGCAACCGCACATTGATGTTTCTCTCTCTTTCTCCCTCCCTAAAAAATAAATAAATAAAATCTTTAAAAAAAACTATAATATCATTCTTAAAAAAAATAAGAAAACCAAAGCTTAAAAAAAACACTACACAAATAGTTGGTGCTTGTCGTTTGCACCCGGGCATTGTGCAAAAGCATCACGTGCATTAATCACTTCATTAAACCCTTCCACCCCTATAAAGCAGGTATTGTGTTTACAAGCCCGGTTTAGAAATGGGGAAACTGAAGGCCAGAAAAGGTAAGCGATACGCTCAGCTCGTCGATGACGGAGCTAGAGTTTGAACCCCAGCAGCTGACCACCAAGGCTCGGTTTTCCATCGTTTTGCTACGCCACCTCCCCAAGAGGGCATGCAGTCACGCTGTGGCCAGAAATGACAGTTACACCATGGCATGTTTTGTATAATTTTGTTAGGAGACAACAATATTAAAGTATCAATATTGGCCTTCTCGAAATGGACCCACAAAGTAAGTTGGTGCAGCAATGAATGCGAATCTAGAAAATATAAGGATGAGCTTCTGTGAACTGTGTTCGCTCTGACCAGGTTAAGAGATAGGTTACAATGCACTGTGTGAATGTGATAGGCCTTTTCAAAACAATATCTTAGCCCTGGATGGCGTAGCTCGGTGGATTGAGCTCAGGCTGAGAACCAAAGTGTCGCAGGTTCAATTCCCAGTCAGGGTGCATGCCTGGGTTGCAGGCCATGACCCCCAGCAACCCCACATTCATGTTTCTCTCTCTCTACCTCCCTTCCCTCTCTAAAAATAAATGAATAAAATCTTTAAAAAAATATCTTAGTAACACTAATTATTTCAAGTTAGCTTTCCAGATAACCACAATGAAGTCTTTAAATTCTGAAGTTTCTGTATTTTAAATAGCAAGCTTAGTTTTAAAAAAAACTATTTTAGATAAAGGATCCTGGACATGGTTAACCTTTTCTCGATAGCTTAGCACTATTAATATGCAATGCAGCCCTGTGCCGTAATAGGGCTCTGCCTTATTCTTCGGATTCCTATTGCCTTAAGATCTAGCTGCCAGGCGAATCCTCGGTGGTGGCCGTGCTCTGCCTCCATAATGCCGTTCTCCAGCCTACCCTGTCCACCCCACCCCCGACATGTGGCTGACAAAGTGCTTTGGGCTAAGAAACCAAATATCTTGGTTATAAATTATATTTTTAAAAGATAGTATAATTTAGCATAAGGTTTTTATGACAGTCATTTCTTATCCCCAGAGATCTTCCTTTCACCTATTTCCAGTTTATGAATATGATTGGAAAGTCAGTGTTGCTGGCAGATTGGTCAGCAGATAAGCTGATCAGCAGATAAGCACATGTCCTTACCTGCCAATCACCTGGCAAATTTTCCTCGTAATATACCATGACTTGGAGATTCCTGTGTATCAAAGGCTCCACTACTTGAGGCTTTAGGATTGACCAAAAGAAAAAAAAAAAAGGTCAGTTAATAATTATTTTAGACTTTGTGGGTCCTATGGTATCTGTTGCAATTAATCAATTCAGATATTAGAGTCCGAAAGCTATAGGCAATAAATAATAAACAAGTGAGAGTGGCTCTTTTCCCCAAAAAACTACAAAAACAGGCAGCGGGCCAAATGCGGGCCAAAGGCTGTAGTTTGCCCACTCCTGCTCAAGCGTTTGCGAATCTGAGATCTTTGCGATCAGAAGTTTGCGGGATAGTACTCCACAGTGTGTAATAAACGCTGTCAGGTGGGTGAAGAACCAACTTTTGGGCAAATCACATCGATACGCCGGAAGGAGGAAGAAACGCACTGCGGCAGGTCAGCCGGCAAGCAGGGAGGGCCCCGCCTCCCCCCCCCAACCCGGGCTTGGGGAAAGGCCACTCCTGAAATCCCCTCGAGATGTAAGAAACCTCCGTAGCAAGCGAAGCTGGAGTTCAGTTTCTCAGTCTCTAATGCTGTCAGAGAGTATTCGGAAGCGTGGGAGTTGAGTCTTAAAAGTTTCATTTTCTACGCAGAGGAATTTTTTAAAAGTATATTTATTGATTTTAGAGTGAGAGAAAGAAACATCAGTTTGTGGTACTACTTTTTAATGCATTCATTGGTTGATTCTCGTATGTGCCCTGACTGGGGATCGAACCTGCACCCTCGGCATATCAGGATGGTACTCTAACCAACAGAGCTCTCAGCTAGGGCCAGTGAAGAGGGAATTTTCCTGTTGTTAAAAGACATAAAATATGCAAGAGACACTACTTGCCTGCAATATAGCTGATGAGTGGCAAAATCCTACTGGGCACCTGTGGGTTTTCGTTAGCTCGTACACTAGTACTTCGTGTTTTTCGGTGAGAGTGAACCGAGTGTTTATGAAAATGTCGGTGTTCGGCTGCTCCGTGGGAGTGCAGCAGCAAGCTTCAACGACGCCCCTCCCTGCCTCTCTCCTCCTGGGGTTCCTCCCCGCGTGGACTTGCCCTTACACAATGGATTCCACTGACCTGTGCAGCTGATAGAGTATCACGGGAATGGCAGATTGTGACTTCTAAGCTCAAACATAAAACAAAACACTTTAGCTCCTGCCTCACTCTTTCTCCGTTGTCACAACACGCCAGCTACTTTATGGAGAGGTCTCCACGGCACGGAGCTGAGGCCTCCTGCCAACGGCCAGCACCAACCTGCCAGCCCCGTGGGCGAGTCCCCAGATGCTGGACCTCTAGCCCCGGCCAAGCCAACTGCAGCCCCGGCTGACGCCAAACTACAGTCTCTCGAGAGGCCCTGAGCCCCCTTTGGCCAGTTCCAAATTCCCGATCCACAGACACTCGGGCAGATAACAAAGGTTTATTGTTTCAGGAAGCTAAACTGTGGGGTAAGGTGCTATGCAGCAATAGATAACTAATACAGCCAGTATACAGAAACAGTTACTGACCCTTCTGTATTGACCTCAGGGCTTGTGAGCTTGCTAGGTCAGCTTCCTTATCGGTCCTAATAACTTCCTCATAGATTCTCAGGATTTCCTATGTAGACAAGTGTATTCTGCCAAGAGAGACATGTTTGGTTTTGTTTCAAGATTTAATTAATTTATTTTTAGAGTGAGAGGAAGGGAGGGAGAAAGAGAAGGAGAGAAACCCTCCCCCCAACTAGGGACCTGGCCCACAACCCAGGCATGTGCTCTGACTGGGAATTGAACCTATGACCTTTTGGTTCACAGGACAGCACTCAGTCCATGGAGCCACACCAGTCAGGGTAAGAGAGACAGTTTTATCTCTTCCTTTCCAGTCTGTAGAACTTTCATTTATC